TCCTTCTGTTCTTCATCTTCAAAGTCCTATAACTAAAAAGCTATAAAATTAATAAAATTAATCCTAATTAAATCTATATAAATAAGCTATAACATTAAAAAAACTAATCCTAATTAAATCTATGTAAAAATTTACTTGGTATATTTGTCCTTGGTTCTTCCTCCTGCTTTTCATTTCTTCATCTTCATAGTCCTGTAACTGAAAAGCTAAAACAATAATGAAACTAATCCTAATAAAATCTATATAAAAATATTACTTGGTATCTTTGTCTTGGTTCTTCCTTCTGTTCTTCATCTTCAAAGTCCTATAACTGAAAAGCTATAGCATTAATAAAACTAATCCTAATTGAATCTGTATAAAAAATTTACTTGGTATATTTGTCCCTGGTTCCTCTTTCTGTGTCTCATTTCTTAATCTTCAAAGACCTATAACTGAAAAGCAATAACAGTAATAAAACTAAGCCTAATTAAATCTATATAAAAAATTTACTTGGTATATTTGTCTTTAGTTCTTCCTTCTGTTCTTCATCTTCATAGTCCTATAACTGAAAAGCTATAAAACAATAAAACTAAGCCTAATTAAATCTTATTGAAAAATTTACTTTGTATATTTGTCCTTGGTTCCTCCTTCTGTTCTTCATTTCTTCATCTTTATAATCCTATAACTGAAAAGCTATAACATTAATAAAACTAATTCTAATTAAATCTATATAAAAAATTTACTTGGTATATTTGTCCTTGGTTCTTTCTTCTGTTCTTCATTTCTTCATCTTCATAGTCCTATAACTGAAAAAACTATAGCATTAATAAAACTAATCCTAATTAAATCTATGTAAAAAATTTACTTGGTATATTTGTCCTTGGTTCTTTCTTCTGTTTCTCATTTCTTCATCTTTATAGTCCTGTAACTGAAAAGCTAAAACATTAATCAAACTAATCTTAATTAAATCTATATAATAAATTTACTTGGTATATTTGTCTTTGGTCTTCCTTCTGTTCATCATCTTCATAGACTTATAACTGAAAAGCTATAACATTAATAAAACTAATTCTAATTAAATCTATATAAAAAATTTACTTGGTATATTTGTACTTGGTTCTTTCTCCTGTTCTTCAATTCTTCATCTTTATAGTCCTGTAACTGAAAAGCTAAAACAATAATAAAACTAAGCCTAATTAAATCTATATAAAAAATTTACTTGGTATATTTGTCATTGGTTCTTTCTTCTGTTCTTCATTTCTTCATCTTCATAGTCCTATAACTGAAATGCTACAGCATTAATAAAACTAAGCCTAAATAAATCTATATAATAAATTTACTTGGTATATTTGTCCTTGCTTCTTCCTTCTGTTCTTCATTTCTTCATCTTTATAGTCCTATAACTGAAGAGCTATAACATTAATAAAACGAATCCTAATTAAATCTATATAAAAAATTTACTTGTTATATTTATTCTTGGTTTTTCTTCTGTTCTTCATTTCTTCATCTTTATAGTCCTGTAACTGAAAAGCTATAACATTATCAAAACTAAGTTTAATTGAATCTATATAAAAAATTTACTTCATATATTTGTCCTTGGTTCCTACTTCTGTTCTTCATTTCTTCATCTTTATAGTCCTATAACTGAAAAGCTATCACATTAATAAAACTAATCCTAATTAAATCTATATAAAAAATTTACTTGGTATATTTGTCCTTGGTTCTTCATTTCTTCATCTTCATAGACATATAACTGAAAATCTATAGTATTAATGGAACTAAGCCTAATTAAATCTATATAAAAAACCTATAACAATAATAAAACTAATCCTAATTAAATCAATATAAAAAATTTACTTGGTATATTTGTCCTTAGTTCTTCCTTCTGTTCTTCATCTTCAAAGTCCTATAACTAAAAAGCTATAACATTAATAAAATTAATCCTAATTAAATCTATATAAATAAGCTATAACATTAAAAAAACTAATCCTAATTAAATCTATGTAAACATTTACTTGGTATATTTGTCCTTGGTTCTTCCTCCTGCTCTTCATTTCTTCATCTTCATAGTCCTGTAACTGAAAAGCTAAAACAATAATGAAACTAATCCTAATAAAATCTATATAAAAATATTACTTGGTATCTTTGTCCTTGGTTCTTCCTTCTGTTCTTCATCTTCAAAGTCCTATAACTGAAAAGCTATAGCATTAATAAAACTAATCCTAATTGAATCTGTATAAAAAATTTACTTGGTATATTTGTCCCTGGTTCCTCTTTCTGTTTCTCATTTCTTAATCTTCAAAGACCTATAACTGAAAAGCAATAACAGTAATAAAACTAAGCCTAATTAAATCTATATAAAAAATTTACTTGGTATATTTGTCCTTGGTCTTCCTTCTGTTTTTCATCTTCATAGTCTTATATCTGAAAAGCTAAGATAACATTAATAGAACTAAGCCTAATTAGATCTATATAAAAAATTTACCTGGTATATTTGTCCTTGGTTCTTTCTTCTGTCTTTTATTTCTTCATCTTCATAGTCCTCTAACTGAAAAGCTCCAACATTAATAAAAATAGGCCTAATTAAATCTGTATAAAAAATTTACTTGGTATATTTGTCCTTGGTTATTCCTTCTGTTCTTCATCTTCAAAGTCCTATAACTGAAAAGCTATACCATTAATAACACCTAATAAAATCTATATAAAAGATTTACTTGGTATATTTGTCCTTGGTTCTTCCTTCTGGTCTTCATCTTCATAGTCCTAGAACTGAAAAACTATAACATTATTGAAACTAAGCCTTATTAAATCTATATAAAAAATTTACTTGGTATATTTGTCCTTGGTTCTTTCTTCTGTTCTTCATCTTCATAGTCCTATAACTGAAATGCTATAGCATTAATAAAACTAATCCTAATTAAATCTATATAAAAAATTTACTTGGTATATTTGTCTTTAGTTCTTCCTTCTGTTCTTCATTTCTCATCTTCATAGTCCTATAACTGAAAAGCTATAAAATAATAAAACTAAGCCTAATTAAATCTTATTGAAAAATTTACTTGGTATATTTGTCCTTGGTTCCTCCTTCTGTTTTTCATTTCTTCATATTTATAATCCTATAACTGAAAAGCTATAACATTAATAAAACTAATTCTAATTAAATCTATATATTACTTGGTATATTTGTCCTTGGTTCTCTTCTGTCTTCATTTCTTCATCTTCATAGTCCTATAACTGAAAAAACTATAGCATTATTAAAACTAATCCTAATTAAATCAATGTAAAAAATTTACTTGGTATATTTGTCCTTGGTTCTTTCTTCTGTTTTTCATTTCTTCATCTTTATAGTCCTGTAACTGAAAAGCTAAAACATTAATCAAACTAATCCTAATTAAATCTATATAATAAATTTACTTGGTATATTTATCTTTGGTCTTCCTTCTGTTCATCAACTTTATAGACTTATAACTGAAAAGCTATAACATTAATAAAACTAATTGTAATTAAATCTATATAAAAAATTTACTTGGTATATTTGGCCTTGGTTCTTTCTCCTGTTCTTCAATTCTTCATCTTTATAGTCCTGTAACTGAAAAGCTAAAACAATATTAAAACTAAGCCTAATTAAGTCTATATAAAACATTTACTCGGTATATTTGTCCTTGGTTCTTTCTTCTGTTATTCATCATCATAGTCCTATAACTGAAATGCTACAGCATTAATAAAACTAAGCCTAATTAAATCTATATAATAAATTTACTTGGTATATTTGTCCTTGCTTCTTCCTTCTGTTCTTCATTTCTTCATCTTTATAGTCCTATAACTGAAAAGCTATATCATTAATAAAACGAATCCTAATTAAATCTATAGAAAAAATTTACTTGGTATATTTATTCTTGGTTTTTCTTCTGTTCTTCATTTCTTCATCTTCATAGTTCTATAACTGAAAAGCTATAACATTATCAAAACTAAGTTTAATTGAATCTATATAAAAAATTTACTCCTTATATTTGTCCTTGGTTCCTACTTCTGTTCTTCATTTCTTCATCTTTATAGTCCTATAACTGAAAAGCTATCACATTAATAGAACTAAGCCTAATTAAATCTATATAAAAAACCTATAACATTAATAAAACTAATCCTAATTAAATCAATATAAAAAATTTACTTGGTATATTTGTCCTTAGTTCTTCCTTCTGTTCTTCATCTTCAAAGTCCTATAACTAAAAAGCTATAACATTAATAAAACTAATCCTAATTAAATCTATGTAGAAATTTACTTGGTATATTTGTCCTTGGTTCTTCCTCCTGCTCTTCATTTCTTCATCTTCATAGTCCTATAACTGAAAAGCTAAAACATTAATAAACTAATCCTAATTAAAATCTATATAAAAAATTTACTTGGTATATTTGTCCTTGGTTCTTCCTTCTGTTCTTCATCTTCAAGTCCTATAACTGAAAAGCTATACATTAATAAACTAATCCTAATTAAATCTATATAAAAAATTTACTTGGTATATTTGTCCTTGGTTCTTCATTTCTTCATCTTCATAGTCCTATAACTGAAAAGCTATAACATTAATAAAACTAAGCCTAATTAAATCTATATAAAAAATTTACTTGGTATATTTGTCCTTGGTCTTCTTCTGTTTTTCATCTTCATAGTCTTATATCTGAAAAGCTAAGATAACATTAATAAAACTAAGCCTAATTAAATCTATATAAAAATTTACTTGGTATATTTGTCCTTGGTTCTTTCTTCTGTCTTTTATTTCTTCATCTTCATAGTCCTTTAACTGAAAAGCTCCAACATTAATAAAAATAGGCCTAATTAAATCTGTATAAAAAATTTACTTGGTATATTTGTCCTTGGTTCTTTCTTCTGTCTTTTATTCCTTCATCTTCATAGTCCTTTAACTGAAAAGCTCCAACATTAATAAAAATAGGCCTAATTAAATCTATATAAAAAATTTACTTGGTATATTTGTCCTTGGTTCTTCCTTCTGTTCTTCATCTTCAAAGTCCTATAACTGAAAAGCTATACCATTAATAAAACCTAATAAAGCCTAATAAAATCTATATAAAAGATTTACTTGGTATATTTGTCCTTGGTGTTCCTTCTGTTTTTTATCTTCATAGTCTTATATCTGAAATCTAAGATAACATTAATAAAACTAATCCTAATTAAATCTATATAAAAAATTTACTTGGTCTATTTGTCATTGGTTCTTCCTTCATTCCTTCATTTCTTCATCTTCATATATAACTGAAAAGCTCTAACATTAATAAAACTAAGTCTAATTTTACTTGGTCTATTTCTCCTTGGTCTTCTTTCTGTTTTTCATCTTCATAGTCGTATATCTGAAAAGCTAAGATAACATTATAAAACTAAGCTTAAACAAATCTATGGAAGAATGTACTTGGTATATTTGTTCTTGGTTCCTTCTGTTTTTCATTTCAATCTTTATAATTGTGCACCTGAAAAACTGGGATACAATAATAATAACTAGGCCTGGTGAAATCATTCTCACTCCTAATGGTGGGAATGTCCTAATGGGTAAATCTCTCAAGAATAAAAAAAAAATAAATGAAAAAACTATTTAAAAACAAAGAAACAAAAAAGCCATGGCATGCCCTGTAAATTTTTGTTCTTCTGTTGCTCTTTTGATAACTTGTTTCCTGTTGAAAATATCTCAAGAAAAATAGAATAGAAAATAATAATTATGACAAATGATAGCAATATATGGAGGCTATTACAGAAAAGGGAATCATTTTCAAATATGCAATATCACAAGTATACATAAAACAGTATTAGTATGATTGTACCTTAAAAATTAGCATATTCTACAAAAAATGAATAGGAAAAATAACCGTTTTCAAATCAAAATGTCTATAATGATAAAACTATTTACGGTCTTGGTTGTTATGAAGCCCATTAAAAAATTGCATAATTCTTTAGTGCTAATTGAATATAAATATCTCAGTCAATTTTTAGCTAACAGGTTGGTACATTTGAATTTGTAACACACAAAACTATTATCAGATAAAAATAGCACTATTCTCAGAGAAATCCTAATATTCTTAACAAAATACCATAAGGGATAAACATTAATCAACAAAAATTAAAACATTGTGGATATATTTATTGAAAATCAAAATAAATATTGGATATGGGAAAAACAAAAAGTAGTTTTGGTGTATCTGAATTTGTCTTATTTTCTTGAACTATAAGAAATTATGGTTAGTAAGAATGACGCCACCAAAAAGAGGCTTGTCAAACAATCTACATACTCGGATTCGTAAAATGCTTTGATTGTTATTTAAGTTCTGATTTGAAAAGAAGGTACTGACATTCAACTGTATTGCCATGTTTACTGTCATAAATATTAAAATAAAAACATATAATTTTGACCACCAATTGCCAGATTCTGTGGTCATTTATATTTTAGTTTAGTATTGACCGAACAAATATTGCTACTATGATTGTCATGCTGTGTATTCCCTCCCTTCATGGGCCCACCAACCACCAGAACCCCATCCCCCCTCCCAACCCCTGTGTATGTGAGTGTAGTATGTTTGTTTTTTGTTTTGTTTTTTGATGGAGATTCATCGACAGAATAGACAAACCATGCCGGCCTGGTTTGTTTTCTGAAGACGATTCCAAACAAAGAACAAGCAGTGTTGATAAAGTACCGGTAATAGATTAGATTTGTGTGTTAGGTAGCATTGACAACCATGAATAGACTTTATTTAGTTCGTACTGATTACAAATGGTATCAAAATGAGTAAATAAGACAATAATGAGATATCATAGCATTATATTTTGAATGCTCATTCCTTATTAATAAGAAAATATTTGTATAATTAAGTTATATGACAAATATGTTGAATGACGCCGCCTCCTTCATGCCAAATTATTAAAGTAATCACAGGAATGTATGTTTAGAATGGATGGAATGGAGTGATGAAATGGAAAATTTAAAATACAAATTTAAACGATGTTTTGGTATAATAGATATATCCACTATTTAATTTTACATAAGACATGAACTATAGATTCTTAATTTTTCATAAATATGGAATCAAATATAGAAATTGTATTGTAGCGTAATGAAGAAAAAAATTTGTGTGGTTTCTAAACAATGGTTCGATCAAGAATCTGTTTCCGTTTATTAAAATCACAAGAACGTGATTGGTCGACCCATTTTTTCTTGCATATAAGATTAAAGTACGTATGCCATTGGGAATAGTCTAAAATAGTCTCATGGCATTGGGTATAGTCTGAAATAGTCTTATGGCATTGGGTATAGTATCTAGAATGGTCTCATGCCATTGAGTATAGTCTGAAATAGTCTCATGCCATTGGGTATAGCTTAAAATAGTCTCGTGCCATTGGGTATAGTCTAAAATAGTCTCATGCCATTGGGTAACGGCTAAAATAGTCTCAAGTGCAGCTCAATTCATTTGTTTGCAGGTAGTTCTCAGACATGTTTGATAAAACTCTCTTTCAGATTTGAATACTCAAGTTTTATCACTTTTTATGATTCCAGATTCCAAGTTCTTTAATTGAGAAAACCTGTAGAAAAAAAATATACAATTAATTATAATGTCTATGATACGATATTCTTTTTTGCATTCATATAATTGAGGAAATAAATCTTAGTAGTTGTATGAGAAGATCTTTCTAATTGTACGCACGAGATAGGTTATTGATTGATCCCATGTGATATAATTCCAATTTTTTTCAAGGTTTGCAGTGAAAATGGTGTAACGTGCTCAGACAATGGACTTACAAGCAGGCAACCTTTTGTCGCTCGCAGACCAAAATTAGGGGTTGCAAGTCATTGGCGCGACGCACATGATTTTAGAAAGTTAAAAACTTTTTCACACAGATCAGAAGTTATATTTTAAGCAGTACTTAAAGAAAAAATTTACATATGACTTGTTTGAGTTTTATAAGAAGAAGATACTTTTTATAATAAAAATCAAGCAGTGATACATCTCCCGAATAGAATATCGATTTATTTAATCATTGCATTGCATCTCAAAAAAATCCAAGTGAATATTTTCTGCGTCATTAAACCCTTTGCACTTAGCATCAACTTTTTTGCGTTTTGTTGATATTTGTCTAATTATAATTGAATTATAGTCTCATTAAACGAGGAATTGTGAATTATGTACTTATTAGGTTATATCATGATTTAGTCTACACGTGTCTCACAATAAATTTTGTAACGTAAAGAATATAATCGTCAAAACAGTTGTTATGTTACTATAATTCAGTGACACGTCGCGGGTCGAATTATATTACTCTGCGGGCGGGATCTGGCCCGCGGGCCGTAGGTTGCCGACCCCCGACTTACAGCATAACATTCAATGCAATTTTATGAACTCGTATGGGTTAGTAAATATGACCCAATAATAATTTGCTTTTATTTCGCATTTATTATGCTAATGAAAACAGTATAGATATTCATTTTAACAAATTCATTACATCAATGATTTCAACATTTCTACCCCCGCAAACTGACAACATCAAATAAAATAAACTCGAGTACCGGCATCAGAATATTGAAATATTAATAATGATTTCAAGCTAACGTAAGCATGTAAGTGAAACAGGTTATAACTTATACGTCGTCTCATCTTATTGTTTCCTACTTTTTTACTGCATGAAATTATAAAATTTGACACTAAAACATGTTAATCAACTTTACGTTACTTGATTTGATCTCACAGATGAAATGTTAAATGTCTTATTATTATTATATTGAATTCAAAAATTTATTTTTGCTTGGTCTCATTATCGGGTCTTGCATGTTTCACAAATACATCGAACATTCTGAAACTAAATTTGTACAACCCTAGAGTCATCGAATATCGGCGTGATAAAAATCAAAACACATAAAAAGCCGTAAAAACTAATTGTTTTGACTCGATTTTTTGAAAAATGACACGTTTCCTAGAATTTTCCCACTAATCATATAAACTTTCTTATGTTTCATAGTCATGTCATCTCCATGTTTTTTTCTCGCAAACTCATATGGCATTTTTATTGGAGGTGGCTATGATGACTATCTTGCGATAGAGTTTGGAATTAAATATGAAAAAATTATACTTTAGTCATCAGATTTTCCACGCATTTGAATGATATCAATAAAAGTTCGCATTTAATGGCTATTAAACAAATCTGGGTCGGGCATTTAAACCTAATTTGATGAATTTATAATTCAAATTTATAGGTGAATCAACAGACAACAAGTCAATATATACTTTTTTACTATTATTATATACTTTCTCGAGTTAAAAGTCGCAAAATGCTTTGAACCCCTGAATTGTCGACTGACCGACATACGGACTGCGCATTCTGAGAAGTCAGATTTACAAAAATGAAACCCAAAACAACGATTTTTAAAGAGCGAAGCAAGTTCAGTACTCAAAAGGCTCATTGAGAGTAGGGCAATTTGAACGTTCACGCAAGTTGCAACAAATTGTTATAGTCAAATGCTTGTTCGGTAAGGGCAAATGTTTAATTTCAAATACTTTTTATAAATTTCATAATAATTGAGAGGTAAAAGCGAAACTTTTTGATTGAATAGATTTCGAAATCTTTGATATATTTTTAAAAAAAAGTTCGAGAGATGATTTAAAAACTGGCAATTGAGATTAGGCAATGGGAGAGCAGTTTAAAAAAATAAAATATTAAGAGATACAAAAGCTAAATGAGATTTGGTTCCAGTCTGTCAGTTAATTTTGTCTATATCTAATCTAAAATAAGATTCAACAGCAAATATTTGGAAATGAATCCAGGCGATTTTTATCAAAAACATCTATAAACTAGATAACTCTTTCCACACTTGAAAAAAGTCATAGCTTTAAATAAGACACTTTTCGACTCAACATAGTTCTTGGGCGTCACGAAACCGCCAGAAGAAGACTTGGAAAATGAATATCGAATTGCTAACACTTCCATTAGAGATAATTTGTATAAAAGTAGTCGAGAAAAGAATCTAGCAGCAAATTTCTCATTGAATTTTTTTTTAAATTTGGTGTGACAATAAATTTGAAAAACAGTTTCCAGAAATTTATGCGTTTTAAGTCATAACTTTTGCAAGGACCCCCATAATGCCTTAGGATCAATAACAGGAAGACACTATTTTGTGCCTGCAAATAATAGAAAGCCTAAGTTAATTTAAGATGCGGCCCGCGGTTTTACCCAGGTATTGATATCTGGCCCGCCTGAGAAAAAGGTTGCACACCCCTGATTTAAAGAGATGATTCAAACAAATCTCATATTTCTCACAAGCTTCACGGAAATTTCCGTTTTTCTCCGATTTTTTTCAAAACGTGGTGTTTTTCTCAAATTTAACACTTTTTGCATTAGTCACAAAATTCCTTTGTACATATTCATAATACACATCATTTAAGATTAAAAAATAAATATATCACATGAAAAGAAATTGATGTTTGCGATCGGGACGCGTTAATTGGTTCGGGTGCATTGTAAACTGACGCTAATGATCTCGGCATTCAATTAGAAAACTCATAGCACTACGTCGTATTTTGTATTTTACATATTCCAAAATACAATAATTTTCAAATTTCTTCCTAATTGCATGTAATAATAAAAATGTCAATATAAAATGTTGGCAGCGAAATATCCGAATTAACTAGTTTGGCTGAAATAGCTAAAAACAAGTCAGAATCCCGTTTATACTCGCGAGGGTGGGGACGTACATGGCTCATAGTTCAGACACACCTAATTTTAAAACATTTTTGATCATATAAAAGCTAAATATATCGGAAATATTGGTATACATTTAGTCGATACCGATACAATACTAATGTCAAAAAATCGGCCGATACTGCCGATACCGATACATCGGTACATCTTCACATCAGACTATAGGACACAACAGAGAATATTGCTCTAGGTAACGGGTTGTTCAGAATGATTGTTGCTATCTTTTAACGCCAAATTACGGTTTTGTTGGGCAGAATAGTTAAATCGATGGGGCGATTCTACAAAATTGAAATGGTCTGGTTCCTACATACTTTGCCATTAAAAATTTATATGTGCGCATTGGTGCTTAAACAGGAGAAAACGAACGAAGGAAAGCAATCTTACTGCTACAAGATAAGTTCATACTCAATATACAAAAAGAATAATCTGTCGCAGATTTCGCCCAAAAATTACAAACGATTTATTCATTCACGGCCACAAATTTTAAGAGATGGGTTACATGAGCGAGTAGAATCCATAATATGCAAAGAAAATAATTATTTGCAAAGAGATATACAGAAAAAGTCTGTGAATTGTTACAATAAAATATGTGTACCATATCACAAATTTTCAAATTAAACATATCTGCAGGAGAATTTTCACATGAGTAAAAAGATGGGTAAATAAAAGATTTCGTAAAATAATTTCAGAGAACCTTCATCGAACCCCCGGATACAACTCCCTCAAACGCTATGGGTACAATCGAACCCAAGGTAAAAAAAAACACCGCTATAGACAGTGTCGTACTCATTACATCATATTCACTGATTAATAGTCCAGGCTACGTCATTTATGAGCACAATCTATAGTCAAAAGCAACGGTAATTTTGACGTAGTTTGTTAATTTAGCACACATTATATCTTTTTACCAGAGTAAGACTTCTGTCGTGACTTCGCTAAACAACTTTTTTCTATCTTTTGTACAAAGCCCTTGACACCAATGCAAAAATGTGATATTCGACAAAACCACTTGCGCCCAGTTTTAAAAAATAAGTAATTATCTAGTTAGTGTAAATTTATATTTCCAGCGGAATCTGCATTTCTAACCCAAACCCTGACAGAATAATTAAAAATTTATTATTCTGAACGATAGCGGGGGTGTTTTGTTTCTACCGGGGAAGTGGGTGTACCAAAGATCCTAAATATGCAAATGAAATTGAAGAAATCAAAAAATTTCGATTACATACTTGCTCTGCTGGCCAGACGCGATAGGCTCTCATCTTGCTCAGTGATGAATACCAGACAAATGACCACGACGAAATTCTTTTGATGAAATTGATGTACTGTCTTTCTAACGTTCAAGCAGTCTCTTAAAAGGCTGAAAATTAACGTATTTTTTTTCATTCTAAAATTATCAGAGGTGCTTAGGATAGCTTAGGATTGCGACGCAAAAAGAGTTCTAATCCTAAATTGTTACAATAAATAATTTCAAATTGGAAATAATTGAAACTCGTATTGTGCCTAATCACTAATTCCAAATTAGACAGCTAAACGTGAAAGTTTGGATATCAGTGGTGGAATATAGAAAATTTTACATAAGTAAAAAAACTAGATAATGAAGAGACTCCATGGCATGAAAATATTTCAGAGGATTCTCATAGAACACCTGGAACAGATCGATCCCAGGGGTTCGGTTTAATCAAACCCAGTTTAAAAAACACCGTTATAGACAATGTCGTGTTTATTACGCCATATTTACTGGTTATTGCTCCAGTTAAAGGGTTGTTTAGAATGATTGTTGCTACTTTTTAACGCTAAATTACGGGTATGTTGGGCAGAATAGTCATCTCTACGATGCGATTCTACGAAATGAAAATGGTCTGGTTCTAAGAGACTTTGCCATAGAAAATTTATAGGTGCGCATTGTTGCTGGAACTAAACAAAAGATGAACGCAGAAACGCAATTTTTACTGCCATAAGATAAGCGTTTACTCAATATAAAAAAAATTACCGCAGAATTCCCCAAAAATTACAAATACATGGGGGGTTACATGGGTCGTGTCGGCCGCCGAAACGATCGCCGTGACAAAAAATTCACTGCAGCCTTGATTATGACAAAATTATGAAGTAAAAAACGCCGCATTGTTACGGAGTTTTCAGTCTTCTAGTGAAATCCGAAAAAAAATTTATTGTCGCGGCGATCGTTTCGGCGGCCGACATCCCAATTAAGGTTGTTTGAAATGACAACACTCATTATTCGGTGTTCGTTTAAAATATGGGTTGAATAATAAATACGATTTTTCCCGCCACTAATCACGGCGCATGTAAATAATCATTGAATGGCAATAAAAAATTAACTTCATTGACAATAAATTCCTGGTAATAGTTTCACATTTCACGAATTTGATCGACGCTACATGCGAGCGTGTTTTTGAACGTATAAACCGTTATGACGCTAGTTATAAGTTCTCTCCGAAATTAGTTTTCGCGATTTTAATGTTTGATTTCTAAATGCGGGTACCCGCTGACTACGGATTAGTGGTCGATGTTTGAAATAGGACTTGCAAAATATTCACCAAACACCATCAGGCAAAGAGAGGCGGGCTACACGTAACTGTGGAATTTCGCTGTGAAGGACGCATACCTTTCAGTTTATTAAACGCCTTACGTCGTCGTGAATTGCACTTTTGCTTCACTGTTTCAATTTCACCGTAACCCCCGTTGGAAAAATCCTGGCTGCGCCCTTGGTTATACTATATACCCAGGTGTATACCAAATCAAACAAAAAGTATTATCGGTGAAGAGATATACAAAAAAGACAGTATTCTCAAATTAGGCCACAATTTCTGGTCCCCGAACTCGTAATATAACTAAAATACGAGTATTGACACAAAATTATGGTCTAACCCTAATCTGGTACACATACTACGTTCCAGTGTCCGCCATCTTGGTACACATACTTCGGGAGTACCGAAAATTCTGTGGCTACGTTATTCGCTAATTTCTAAGCAAAAGCTATAGTTATAAATCAACGTCAATTTTTACGTTTTTCGTTAGCAGTAATTCAGAACACATAATATTTGCGACCAGAGTAAGACTTCTGTCATAACTTCACTAAACAACCTTTTTCTACTTTATATTATCAAATAACTTTTGTTATTTGCGAGGTACATACGAAAAAAAATTGAAAAATATGTAACACGTAGTAAAAGGTTTAAAAGCAATATTTTAGTATATTAGATTGGGATCTTTCGTACAAAAACTTCGACACTGAGTTACAAATTAGTAACTATCTAGTCAGGGTTAAAAAAAATTAAAAATTAATTATTTTCCTGCGCAATCTATAGGGGTTGCGCAAAACTTCAATCCTTAGATTAAACCTAAATATGCAAATCAAACTTTGAAAAAAAAAAATCAAAATATTTTGATTACATACTTGCTTTGCATACTGGCCAGATTCGATAGGCTTTCATCTTGCTCGGTGATGAATACCAGAAAAATGACGAGGCATTTCTTTTGATGAATTGATGTACTGTCTTTCTAACTTTCACGCAGTGTCATAGAAAACTGAAATTAAATGTATTTTCAGTTGATTCTTAAATTATCAGTGACGTGTATCGAGGGTATGGCAGGTATGGCAGGTATGGCAGGTATAGCTCCTACCATTGGCAATTCTGGATTGCGGCGCGAAAAGAATGAAAAGTTCTAATCGTAAATTGTTACAATAAAATATTTGTGCCATATCACGAATTTCAAATTAAACAGATAAAAGTGGAAGGTGTTTATCTATCCACGGCCACAAATTATGCGTGATGAATTACATGCGCGAGTAGAAACCATAATATGCAAATAAAATAATTACTTGCGGAGAGATATACGGAAAAAGTCTGCGGCTACGTTATTTAGGAGCACAATCTATAGTCACTAATCAACGTTAATTTTGAGGTAGTTTGTTAATTTAGCACACATAATATCTTCTTATCAGAGTAACACTTCTGTCGTGATTTTGCTAAACAACTCTTTTCTATTTTATATTATTAAATAACCTTCGTTGTTTGCAAGGTACATACAAAAAAATGACAACACTCATTATTCGGGGTTCGTTTAAAATATGGGTTGAATAATAAATACGATTTTTCCCGCCACTAATCACGGCGCATGTAAATAATCATTGAATGGCAATAAAAAATCAACTTCATTGACAATAAATTCCTGGTAATAGTTTCACATTTCACGAATTTGATCGGCGCTACATGCGAGCGTGTTTTTTAACTTATAAACCGTTATGACGCTAGTTATAAGTTCTCTCCAAAATTAGTTTTCGCGATTTTTAATGTTTTATTTCTAAATGCGGGTACCCGCTGACTACGGATTAGTGGTCGATGTTTGAAATAGGACTTGCAAAATATTCACCAAACACCATCAGGCAAAGAGAGGCGGGCTACACGAAACTGTGGAATTTCGCTGTGAAGGACGCATACCTTTCAGTTTATTAAACGCCTTACGTCGTCGTGAATTGCACTTTTGCTTAACTGTTTCAATTTCACCGTAATCCCCGGTTGGAAAAATCCTGGCTGCGCCCTTGGTTATACTATATACCCAGGTGTATACCAAATCAAACAAAAAGTATTATCGGTGGAGAGATATACAAAAAAGACAGTACTCCCAAATTAGGCCATAATTTCTAGTACAAATACTACGGAAATACACTCGGCTAGTCCCCGAACTCGTAATATAACTAAAATACGAGTATTGACACAAAATTATGGTCTAACCCCAATCTGGTACACATACTACGTTCCAGTGTCCGCCATCTTGGTACACATACTTCGACAGTACCGAAAATTCTGTGGCTACGTTATTCGCTAATTTCTAAGCAAAAGCTATAGTTATAAATCAACGTCAATTCTTACGTTTTTCGTTAGCAGTAATTTAGAACACATAATATTTGCGACCAGAGTAAGACTTCTGTCATAACTTCACTAAACAACCTTTTTCTACTTTATATTATTAAATAACTTTTGTTATTTGCGAGGTAAATACGAAAAAAAAAATTGAAAAATATGTAACACGTAGTAAAAGGTTTAAAAGCAATATTTTAGTATATTAGATTGGGATCTTTTGTACAAAAACTTCGACACTAAGTTACAAATTAGTAACTATCTAGTCAGGTTTAAAAAAAATTAAAAATTACTTATTTTCCTGCGCAATCTATAGGGGTTGCGCAAAACTTCAATCCTTAGATTGAACCTAAATATGCAAATCAAACTTTGAGAAAAAAAAATCGAAATATTTTGATTACATACTTGCTTTGCATACTGGCCAGATTCGATAGGCTTTCATCTTGCTCGGTGATGAATACCAGAAAAATGACGAGGCATTTCTTTTGATGAATTGATGTACTGTCTTTCTAACTTTCAAGCAGTGTCATAGAAAACTGAAATTAAATGTATTTTCAGTTGATTCTTAAATTATCAGTGACGTTTATCGAGGGTATGGCAGGTATAGCTCCTACCATTGGCAATTCTGGATTGCGGCGCGAAAAGAATGAAAAGTTCTAATCGTAAATTGTTACAATAAAATATTTGTGCCATATCACGAATTTCAAATTAAACAGATAAACGTGGAAGGTGTTTATCTATCCACGGCCACAAATTATGCGTGATGAATTACATGAGCGAGTAGAAACCATAAGATGCAAATAAAATAATTACTTGCGGAGAGATATACGGAAAAAGTCTGCGGCTACGTTATTTATGAGCACAATATATAGTCACTAATCAACGTTAATTTTGAGGTAGTTTGTTAATTTAGCACACATAATATCTTGTTATCAGAGTAACACTTCTGTCGTGATTTTGCTAAACAACTCTTTTCTATTTTATATTATTAAATAACCTTCGTTGTTTGCAAGGTACATACAAAAAAAATAAAAATTGAAAAATATGTAACACGTAGTAAAAGGTTCAAGAGCACTATTTCAGTATATTAGATTGAATTCTTTTGTACAAAACACTTGATACCGATGCAAAAATGTGATATTTGATAAATACTTGCGCCAAGTTTTAAAAAAAAGTAAATATTTAGTTAGTGTAAACTTATATTTCCAGCGCAATCTGCATTTCTAACCCAAACCCTGACGGAATAATTACAAATTTATTATTCTGAACGATAGCGGGGGTGTTTTGTTTTTACCGGGGGAGGAGGTGTTGAAAGATCCTTAAATTGATCCCAAATATGCAAATGAAATTGAAAGACTAGATTTCGATTACGTACTTGCTCTGCTGGCCAGACTCGATAAGCTCTCATCTTGCTCAGTGATGAATATCAGACAAAATGACCACGACGAAATTCGTTTGATGAAATTGATGTACTGTCTTTCTAACGTTCAAGCAGTCCTTTAGAAGGCTGAAAATGAAAAGATCCCTATTTTAGTGTATTAGATTTGAATCTTTCGTACAAAGCCCACAAAACTAATGCAAAAATGAGAGATTTGATAAAAACCACATGTGCCAAGTTTTAAAAAGCAAATGAGTATTTATCTAGTTTAGGATAGAAACTATTTGTAAATTTGTAATTCCAGCGCAATTATTAATTTATTATCTGAACGTTAGCGGGGGTGTTTTGTTTCTACCGGAGAAGGGGGTGTACAAAAGATACCTAAATTGATCCTAAATATGCAAATGGAATTGAAATACTCAAAAGATTTTGATTGCATACTTGCTCTGCTGACCAGACGCGATAGGCTCTCATCTTAATCAGTGATGAATACCAGACAAATGACCACGGCGAATTTCGTTTGATGAAATTGATGTACTGCCTTTCTAACGTTCAAGCAGTCTCTTAGAAAGCTGAAAATAAATGTATTTTAGTTCATTCTCAAATTATCAGTGACGTATATCGAGGGTATGACAGATATAGCTTCCACCATTGGCAATTTTGGATTGCGGCTCAAAAAGAATGGAAAGTTCTAATCGTAAGTTGTTACAATAAAATATTTCTGCCATATCACGAATTTCAAATTAAACAGATAAACGTGGAAGGTGTTCATCTATCCAGGGCCACAAATTTTGCATGATGAATTACATGAGCGAGGAGAAACCATAATATGCGAAGAAAATAATTATTTGCAGAGAGATACGAAGAAAAAGTCTGCGGCTACGTTATTTCTGAGCACAATCTATAGTCATAAATCAACGTTAATTTTGAGGCAGTTTGTTAATTTAGCACACATTATATCTTTTTACCAGAGTAACACTTCTGTCGTGACTTTGCTAAACAACTTTTTTCTATTTTATATTAATAAATAACCTTCGTTGTTCGCAGGGTACATACAGAAAAATAAAAATTGAAAAATATGTAACACGTAGTAAAAGGTTCAAGAGCACTATTTTAGTATATTAGATTGAATTCTTTTGTACAAAGCACTTGATACCGATGCAAAAATGTGATATTTGATAAATACTTGCGCCAAGTTTTAAAAATAAGTAAATATTTAAACTTATATTTCCAGCGCAATCTGCATTTCTAACCCAAACCCTTACGGAATAATTACTAATTTATTATTCTGAACGATAGCGGGGGTGTTTTATTTTTGCCGGGGGAGGGGGTGTACAAAAGATCGTTAAGTTGATCCTAAATATGCAAATGATATTGAATGACTCAAAAGATTTCGATTACATACTTGCTCTGCTGATCAGACGCGATAGGCTCCCACCTTGCTCAGTGATGAATACCAGACAAATTACCACGACGAAATTTTTTTGATGAAATTGTATGTACTGTCTTTCTAACGTTCAAGCAGTATCTCGAAGGCCGAAAATTGATGTATTTTTAATTCATTAACTATCTAGTTAGGGTTAAAAACAAATTGAAATTTTTTAATTTTCATCGCAATCTATAGGGGTTGTGCAAAAGATCCTTAGATTGAACTCAAATATGCAAATTATATTGAAAGAATCAAAAGATTTCGATTACATACTTGCTTTTCTGACCAGACTCGATGGGCTTCTATCTCAATCAGTGATGAATACCAGGCAAATGACGAGGCAATTCTTTTGATGAAATGATGTACTGTCTTGCTAACTTTCAATCAGTGTTGGGGAAAGCTGAAAATAAATTTATTTTTAGTTTATTCTCAAATTATCAGTGGCGTATCTAGGGTATGACAGCTATAGCTCCTACCATTGACGACTTAGGATTGCGGTGCAAAAAGAGTGAAAAGTTTTAATCCTAAATTGTTACAAAAAATAATTTCTGCCTTATAACGAATTCAAAATTACGGTAAGCAGCTAAACGTGGAAGTTTGCACATTTGCAGTGGAATATAATAAATTTTACATAGATAAAAAGCTGGGTAAAGGGAAGATTTCGTAAAATTATTTCAGAGGACCTTCAGGTTCGGTTTAATCAAACCCAGTTAAAAAAAAAACACCGTTATAGACAGTGTCGTGCTCATTACGCCATATTCACGGGTTATTGCTTCAGTTGAAGGGTTGTTTAGAATGATCGTTGATACCTTTTCAACGCTGAATTACGGGTATGTGGGACAAAATAGTCGATTCGACGAAAAAAAGGGTCTGGTTCTAACAGATTTGGCCTTAAATAATTATGAGCGCGCATTGGGACTCAAACTGGCAAAAAGGGGAACGAAGAAAAGATAAGCTTATACTAAATATACAAAAAAGATAATTTGTCGCAGATTTTCCCCAAAATTACCTACTTGGAGTGATCTTTTAGTGCAGTTATATTCAACCGAATTTATCATAAATAAACAGGTGTATACCAAGATAGATCCCGGCTATACAAATAGAAATTGGCATACGATGGTACACTAGAGCTATAGCCTGATTCGAACAATCAAATTTCCCGGTCCGTTTTGTGTTTTTGAACGCGCACAGGTCCCGTTCAACATCGGGCTCAATAATTTATGAAGTATTTGTCTGTCCACGCCTCGAAATGTCCGAGTACAAGCTATAGTCACAAATCAAAGTCAGTTTTTTCCTTTTACACATAATATTTTGTGGCCAGCGTAAGACTCCTATCATGACTTCACCGAACAACTTTTTCTGCGCTATTTTATTAAATAATCTTTGTTATTTGCGAGGTATATACGATTAAAAATTGAACAAGGTGTAACATGTAGTAAAAGGGCGAACAGCGCATTTTTGCATATTAGATTGGAATATTTTGTAAAAAGCACTCGACAATAATGCAAAAATGGGCGCTCTTGAAGTATGCGTACCGAGAAGACGGACACCATACCATAGTATGTGTACCAGGTTAGAGTTAGGCCATATTTTAGGTACAAATACTACGGGAGTCACATGGCTAGTCCCAGAACTCCTAAAAGAACTAGAATAAGTAAAATTGCAATAAAATCATAGTCTACCCCTAACCTGGTACACATACTACGTTCAGGTTTCCGCCATGGTACGTGTACTTCAGGAGTACCCCAAAATATGAGACTTGATAAAAACACTTCCGCCAAGTTTTAAAATAGCAAATCAGTGACTAGTTAGGGTTAGGAACGATTTTAAAATTTGAATTTCCAGCGCAATCTTCATTCTCGACCCAAACCTTAACCGAGTAGTTAATAATTTTCTTATTTTGAGGGTTTGTGGGAGTGTTTTGTTTTTGACCGGGGGAATTGTTCAACCAACCAACGATCCTTAGATTGAACCTAATTATACGATTAAGATTGAAAGATTTCGATTACATACTTGCTTTGCTGGTCAGACTCGATAGGCTTCTATCTCACTGAGACGAATTTCTCCTATTGATGAAGTAGTATACTGCCTTGTCAACTTTCAACAAGTGTTTAAGAAAGCTGAAAATAAATGTATGTGACATGATCGTCGTATTTTCATCAAAATAATAACGTACGAGTATCTCAATTCAACAGCAGCCCTTTTAAAGTGTGATCCAACCATCAAGGGGTCGCATTTTTAAACTTTTGCGTAGATACATCCCTGCAAATAATTCAGAGATTTTCCCTAAATTTATGAAATATTACTTATTTGAAATGATCTGTACGTACATTGTGTTGCACCTCATCTTGTAAATGACGAGTAAACTATTAACAATTATGTTATATTTCACGTTCTTATGAAAATCCTCTCTACAGTCACAGATATCTACAGACATTTAATTTCATAAGATACTACTCGCAGTTTTCGAATTATATAACGGGGTACAATTATTACGACAAGAAACTGTCCAATGACGCTTTTATAATTGTTTATGGAATATATGACTTATTACTTCTGTTAAGTATGTGGAATTACCATATTGATTACGGGAATCCATGGATGTCGAAAAGTCAAATAAAATGTATAAATATTACCTGTAGATTTTCCCTCGGTTTCGTTACATCGTGTCTTCGCATCTTCAATTTCAACATCAACAACAGTTCTACATCCGAAAAGTTAAGATATTAATAATAAACTGTTGCAGAACTTTCTAATGCGGGAATGGGAATACGTCTATCCACAATAACTAATATACAAAAGTAAAAAAAGTATAGTATATATAAACCCATGGATTTGGTGTTATATTTGAGGTGCGAAAGTTATCCATATTACATTGATGTATAGCGTGCCATGTGAAATGCAGCTTACGTAGTGACTTATATCGGGCGCGACTTAAAAAGTGTGAGAATCACTGAATTTTAGGTTATATATATAATATGCGAGGACTCCTGAGAAAATATCGAATATCTGATGAATGAAACCACAGAGCTATTGTATTACCTTTGTATCTTTCGCTTACTCGTCAATTTAGAATGAGCCTATGTTTAGATTTATAGTTCATGTTGAAAATAATAGAAAATTGTAATATCAACCAAAAGACTTAGAAATCAGTTTATGAAAAGCAATAGGTACAAAAATTGAGATAGTAATCAACAATATTAACCAAATCAATAAAAAATATAGAGTTTTAGGGAAACCATATAACAGCTTTACAAACACTTGATAATATTTAGCTCACCTGAATATTGTTCCAAAGAGACAAACTGATAAAGAGCAATATTCCAGCATTAACCACACACAAAATCGACTGCACTCCATCATGTAAATTTGCTACTGAGGCGTTGTCGCTTGTGCTTCCCGCGCGAAGAGTGGACGAAAACGCTAATTAGTCCTTTGTAATTAAACGTTTTTAATTAGTCCCGTTATTCCAGGATCTAACAACCCTGGATCGCTACGAGCGGATCATGCTTCTGACACGTGATCACAAAACATAAACAATGCAAATGACATTTGGTATTTGCTTAATATTACTTGTGATTGTTTGAATGCCCAATTTACACTAGTTTCTCCGTCCAAACCAAACGTTGGAGACATAACATACATAGCAATATAATCGAGTTACATGTGAAAGTCCTGTTTAATTTCTCAGACCGATGGTAACAATTGATAAAGACTCGCAGAGTCTAGCGCAGAGCTATACCCTAAATGGAGTTGCGACACCGCAGGTGAGACGCAGCAACAAAGTTTTGGGGTTGCAACGAATACTCGAATTCCACACACAGAGTACTACCGCCTACCGGAATATCTAATGTAAATTTCATACTTTTGATTCAAAACACAACTATTAAAACTAATGAAACGTATAAATCCCACTATTTTAAAACATCGAATAGAATCAGAGAAGCGCTGGGCTTACATCGAACTGTAAAAGTTTTAGAAGCTCAGATTCAGCAAACTCTTAAATCAGTGATTTGCAACCTTTTCGAGCCATCAGACCATCCTTTTATTACTCAGGGAATTTCGTCAAATCCCAAAGTTTTGAACGGTTGAAACCAGGGGTGCAACCAGAACCTCACAGGGGAAGTGAATTTTGTGCAAGGTATAGAACAGGGGTGGGTACCTTTTTCGGCTTGCATGCCAAAATCGGCCAAATTTAATTATAAATTTTTTCGCGTGCCGACATAAATTGAAAACAATGCTTTGTTACTTCAAAGCAAAAATACACAATAATAAACCCTTTAAACGTGCACAGACAGATTCCATATTCGGAAAAATACCAGTCCGACAAATATATGTAATTATTTTTCTTATTCTATATGTGTTATACGTGTTTCCCCGAAAATAAGACTGAGTCTTATTTCAATTTTCTTCCAAAAATAACACTAGGGCTTATTTTCGGAGGATGTCTTATATTTTCATTTTTCAAAAACAAAATTACCAAGTAGATAATTGCGAGATTTTTCAATATATATAATAAGAAAACCGATATCCATTTACTTATAAATTACACGTTTTTATTCGAAATAACTGCAAAACATAGATTATTAATCATTTAAAACGTGTAAGAGAGATTTCTTGCTATCGACTAGGTAAACAAATTGGCGTTATTGAGTAGGTCTTATTTAAAGGGGAGCGCCTATATTAAAATCATATCAAAAATTCAGTCTAGGTCTTATTTTCAGGGTAGGTCTTATTTTCGGGAAGACACGGTATCAGTGAGACTTCTACTGCTGCATTACCGCTGATAGAGATTGGACATTGGGTTTATATTTTGTAACGTTTAAAGAAATAGACGACATACTGGTTTCATGTTTTAGGCTACTTCTGTTACGAGACTAAATAAAGTTCATAGCTGAGAACAGAGATCCACAAGTTTATGTAGAATAAAACACGGACATAGACGAACTATTTTATACAAATCAGTCGACTAAATTTGTCGACAGCTCACTCAGTTGCTATGTCATAATATATTTCTTTGTAATCATATGTTATGAAAGGACTAAAAAAGTTTAAATAAATAACGGATTGTTAACAAACGATAATAAATAAACGAAAACCTAGTTTCATCAGATAATTCAAGATTCTTGAAACTTTTCATCTGAGGGAGGATGATCTCGTTTCCGAGTCCTCATTCACGTGCCAAATACCTTCATAGCTCCCGTCGCTATGAATGCAAAATCAGAAACGTATATATTACAGACCAAATAAACGTCGTTGGTCGTCTTCAGCGAGTTTTTTTAATATTTGGTGACATTTTCGTCAGGCACAATCTCAAATCACCCCTGACGGAAAGGTGATTTTGTTGTTTTGATAGTAAGAGTGTCACAGAGAATCCAGGGTTCTGCCTCCTCACAAATCGTAGGGTACATGCCTGATCCGTTTTGTTGCCATGATTCAGTGAAGCGTCGCGGGCCGGATTATATTACTCCGTGGGCCGCAGGTTGTCGACCCCTGGGCTACGCAAATTACCTTGCGCCGTGGAATCCTTTCACGTGTGATAACGCCCACAGCGTTCAAACCTGCATTGATTAGCGTAAATTTTTCATCATAATCTGGGGAAATGTGACGTATGGCCTATGAATGAATAGAAAGGTACATCGCAATATCGCATCGCCAGGCGCAATTTACTGCGTTTCATCTTTACTGGCTGCGGTAGCAACCTTCACCTGTCGCGGAGCTTTTAAGACAAAATTTACGGTGTTTTTCGTTTTATTTCTATTGTGTGTAATATTGTAAAGAAGCCGCGACAATTTCAAACTTAGATGTTTCATAAATTAAGAAACAGTAAACCATAGATCAGACGGTCAGTTGGCACTGAAGACAGAAAAGATCAAATTGATGAACCGTCTTCCGGTCTTATTATTCTTCCATTCAGAGTCAGAAATTTGGTTTGCAGGTTTACAGTATGTTCAATGTAATTTTCGCGGGGCAGTCTAGTCGTGGGCTACCAAGCGTGGCGTCGTTAATTAAGTAATATTCTAATTAACGCGGTCCTCGTCAGTAGCGGTGGCGCAGGGGAAGCGTAGGGACGTGGTCAAACATCAGGCCAGGGGTTCGAATCCCACAAGGTAGATTGAGGTATGAGCATAGGCCAGCAGGCGAGCCAGGAGTTATATAGATAAGCAATAACGGGGGATAGCGCGGATGTGCAAGTGAGAAGAGGAAAGTGAAGGAAAGGCAGTCGACGAGCCAGTGAAGACCAGCCAACAGAGAGTGCGGCTTGAGTATAGAAGCACTAGACTGGACCGCTGAGCTGTAGGATTGGGCATGGAGGAGGAAAGGCAGTCGGCGAGCAGTGTGTGCAAGAGAGAGACGTGGAGGAGGGGGATAGGCAGTCGGCGAGTAAACTGAAATCGTCCAACAGAGTGAGTGCAGGTGAGCACCGAAGAAGCAGACCAGACCACTGAGCTGTAAGCCTTAGCGAGCAAGTAGGGCAGTCGGCGAGTACCGAAGAAGGGTAGAACCAACTGAGCAAGGATGAGCGAGTAAGACCAGTGGGCGTGGGGAGGAAAGGCAGTCGGCGAGCAATTAAATTAATCAATATGGGTCGTCGAGGAGAAAGGCAGTCAGTCCTGAGCTGTACGGATGTGGCCGAGGAAGGGCAGTCGGCGAGCAAGTGAGGCCCACCCAACAGTGGGCGTGCGGGAGGAAAGGCAGTCCGGTGAGCTAAGTTTAAAAACCCTGAGCTGTAAGGATGTGGAGGAGGAGGATAGGCAGTCGGCGAGTACACTGAAACAAACCATCCCAACAGTGTGAGTGCAGCGTAGCAAGATGGGGCGTGGAGGGGGAAAGGCAGTCGGCAAGCAAGTGAGACCACCCAACAGAGAGAGAGTGGAGGAGGAAGGGCAGTCGGGCGAGCAAGGGAGAGTGCATCCAGTGCAACTAGCACTAGGTCGGCTTAGAGGAGGAAAGGCAGTCGGCGACAGTGTGCAAGAGAGCTAGACATGGAGGAGGAGGATAAGCAGTCAGCGAGCAACAACAGTGTGAGTGCAGCGTAGCAAGATGGGGCGTGCAGGGGAAAAAGCAGTCGGCGAGCAGTGTTGCAAGTGGGAGAGTTGCCGCAGCCAGCAAGTAGGAATGAATGTCTCGTTTTACTTTAGTAACTTTAGATTCGAATATTCACCGATAATGTTTTGAATAGCGTTTTCTACACCCCACATTATATAGTCGCAAGATATATATTATTGAGCATGCACGCGACCGGATACTTTATTATTAAATTCAACTATTTAAATGTCGGTCGTGCATAAATCACGACAAAACACCGATTTGGCAATTGGCAACTTTATTTAAGTTACTTTCACGCAACGGAACTCACTTGCAACAATTAATGCGTTTACATGGCAACGATTATCGTGCCCAAACCGTATTTTGAGCAAATCGTGTTCATGTGAACACTTTGGTTCGATCGCCAATCATGACTCAGCGTGTTTGCATCGTGATATTCCAGCATATTGCACAGGGTAGATTAGCAGGCACGATGCTTTCCTCGCACACGCGAACATGGTAATGAGAGGCGCAATGACGAGCGTATTCCTAACGATGCGTCACATCGCCACTTGAACACCTGTTGACTTTGACACTAGAGCTAAGATCTGAAGCCCGAAATCGGGTCGGGCCTGAAATGTCAATCATTGTGTTCGGGTCGGATCGGGCTTCTCTATCGCTGATTT